TGCTTAGATATATAGGGTTTAGAGTATATGGACTACATCATTGCATGGATAAATTGAGTTTAGTGCATAGGCACTACTCCACTTTTTTCAAGCATCTACGACATGCACAGAGTACTGTTCTGCCTGCTGGATCATTGAAAGAACAAATGGAGCTGTTGTACCATATCCGTGCAAGTAAGCCACAGCGTCGGCCTTCAGAGCTGCTTTCTTTGTGCTTATTTTACTAGTGACATCACATCCTGTGAGACTATGTAGAGCTGGAAGTACTGTGTACATAAGGTGACCCCATCGTACATACAAAATGTGAAGAGCGACAAAACGCGTAGTGCTGTCTCTTTTTGCCTTTACCAAAAGTTCCTGAAGACCCTCTTGGAGAAAGTTGGGCATATAGAACAACAGAGCAACTACTACGTCAGTATCATTGGATATAAAAACACAAGTTTTGTAACCTGTTCTGAGACAATCCGGGACATCCGTCGGTATACAAAGATCTGCCTCTTCAGCTGGGAACTGCGCTGATGCATGTTATGTACTGCACCATGGTGAATCTTTATGCACTGCCATTCATTATTCTCCATGCAAAGCTGACTCTTCACGCCTTTCCAAAGACCTTTCATGCAAGAAACCATACCAATTCATTTTTCCAGTAGCACTTTATTTTGGCTTGATGGCCATAATGTTGTCATGTACTGGTGTTGAGAGGTTAACTGAGCTGAGGACCACTGGATTCGTACTGCAACCTCTCTGTGTCTTTCACTGGTGGATTATCATTGTAAATGTCAAAGATGTTGGCTTTTCTCTTGTTTGGTCATATGTCAGTAGATCATCTGTACTGAGACCTCTCTTTCTAGCTACTTCAACTGATTTGTCAGTAATGTTCATAGATCGGATAACTTTCTTGGCTGTTTGCTTGGGTTTATCTTTGATGGTGATCATGGTTTTGGATGTATTCTGTGAATAGTGTCTCTGAGTTGAACAGTTTTGTTAATGATACGTTCCTTACGTATCATTAGCTTTACGTGGAAAGCTTGGTATTTCTTTTTGCCTTTTTCAGATGCATTCAGAACATCTTTTCTGATTTCTTCTGACATAACTTGCTTGGTAACAAAGCTTTGCGGGGCAGTCTGCCGTGCTTTCCTTAAGCTCACGTAAGATATCTAGTTCTTGGGCATAACTTGTCATACATTTCTCTTTAAAGAACAGTAGATGTTGCATTGATTCAGCCAGGAGTTTTTGCACATTGAGAGACCGATTATAGTGACCTCCATTAAGTTTTGAATCACTGTTGGTCCATAGAATCCTGCTTCTAGTCATACATTCTCTGCACCACTTCCTCCCAAACTCTTTCCAGTGCATTTTAGCAATGTCTTGAGAGTGTGAAAGGTCCCAAGACATAACACAAGACTCTTGAATTCTGTTGGGCGCATGAGTTGGTTCTCTTCGGCCATGCAGCACACCTTTTCATCTGGATACACAGGGAGCTGGCACTGAACCAATTGTGAGCAAATTGCCACTAGATTTTTCATCTGTGTGTATACAGAACTATACATTGTGACAGGATATGGCAGAACAGGTAAGAATGCCACATGCTCGAGTGGAACATTTTCATCTGTCCAGATATTATTAGAGTCACTCCAAGAAAGCAATGTCTGCATGTCATGATATATCATTCTAGAAAACTGGTTATCCTTCACTTCAAGATTTAGGCGCCTTATAGACCATGCAATGTCAGCGAGCCTCTTTTCAGATTTATACAGCTCTTCATGGTCTTTAAATGAACTTGGAACACCGGGTCGCTTCACTGGAGCTTGAAACTCTTGTAGTAGCTGGCAGAGTAGGGTTTTCTTGAAAGTATGTGGACCATGGTCAACCAAAGTGACGGATCATTTTGGCTTGAGTAGCTGAGAACTGGGCTTGTCCCGATAAAGTAGATAAACTGTGTCATGCTCAGATATATTAGCTCCCTCCTGATTCCAGTTATTAATACCTGCAGATGTGAATTCTCCAGTGGCTGGTAATGCAACACTCATTGTTCTGCTGTGCAATGTAATTTGCAATGTCATATTGATATTGCCGTAGTTCTGTGTAACTTAGAGCAAGCCCTTGGTGGTTCATGATAATAGTGAGGATTTTCCCTCCACGCCCAAGACTATGAGTTGATTCAGCATTCATCATATGCATTGGTGTACGTTTTCTGCCACAATGATGCACATAGAACATAGCCTGGGCCTTTCTGCATCGTTCAGTACACAGACAACAATCAGTTGACAACTTATTGTGATTCTCATGATAATTCACTTTATCTGATTCATTTCCTTCATCTGCTTTATTTAATTCTTCATCATCTTTATCTATATCTGTTGTATCTCCTTTCATCATTAAAGCTTCAGCTGCCTTTGGGTAGGTTGCAGGGTTGAAATTGTACAGGTGTCCAAAAAACCTAAGGATTGGTTCAGGTATTTTCATACTGCTGCATACCTGTTTCAGGTCTTCAGCAATACAAAATCTGTCATCTAAATCAAAATCATAGCTATTAAAACTTGGATGTAGTACCCTGACACACACTTGTATGGGATCAATACAGCTAATTCGCTCTGCTAAAACATCTATTACATGGCGCACTGTAAACCATCAAAGACTTGCAAACTTCATCAGGATATGAAAAGTCAATGCTGCTTCCAAACTGTCTCAGCGGAAACACTTTCACATCTCTATTTCCAAACTGGTGCATCTCATCTACACTTGTGTTTAGTTGGTCTCTGATTGAAGAGAGTTCATAACCATTGCCGCTACTCAGGCACAATAACACTCCATGCGCACCACTTGGGATTCATCTGTTGTGGTTTACCAGTTGAACAGTGAGCCGTCTCAAATTTGTGGATGTACTTTGTCATGCAGTTTTTGTGGTAATATAAATCAGCTCCGAAAATCGCATGCTCGTCTTGTAGCTCACAAATGCGACTGAAAACATCACCCTGGATAACATTTGCTGCTTCTAGAAATGACGTAGCTCGATTTGACTTAGATATACTGAACTTTGTGAAGCTGTTTTTATATGACTTATTGCCACATATGACACAGTTTGAGAAAGTCACACTTTTGGAATCTACTGAGAACGAGTCAAAATCCCATCTGGACTACTTGCTTCATCATGGAATTATTGTGGGACTCCTTCTTGAAGTGGTGCTGCATGGGTGTAATTCTTGAAACATGGTAGATAAACTCACTGTCGACTGGAAGCAGTTTTATGCGTTTAGTTACAAGATCATTCCGGATTTCGCTAGATTCTCGTACTCGTTTACAACCACTAGGTGTGCTGAGCAGTTTATCTTGTTTTTTGACACATTACAAACATTCACCAACACAAATGTGGCAAACAATCCAATTTACTTTACCATTTTTTTTCTCTACTTTTATTTGCTAGTTGTTTTTTATTTATTTATTTTTTGTTTTTCTGTGTTTATTTTTATTCACACTTTAATTGTTTGTTTGTCTTTATTCACATCTGTATTGCATTTTAGTCAAAATCCTAATAGGGATACGAACGCAATAAGGATAATTATTATTATTATCACTTTTCCTTGTCATATAAAACAGCCTCAGGGCGTGACTTGACTTGAAAATAGAATGAAGTCCATAGTCTTGGATGGCACTCTAAGACTTTAACCTGAAATGCAAAAAGAATATGCCAATTCAAATGACAAATTGTTTTCATTTTTAAATTCACAACTTTTGTTGAATGGTAGACAATTAGTCAAAGCACATTTTCTTTGTGTCCACAAACATATGACTCTGTGTTTCAATGGCTGAATTACAGAAAGGTATATAACAAGTCTGTAAAAAAGTCTAAACTAGTGGTATTATTAGACCCTGAAAACATATGTATAGGCACCAGAATATTTTTTTACGAGCCTCCAAGAGCTGAGATATGGTCATAAATAGAAAATTTGGCGACTATTTTTTTAAAGTTCTGTCCGTCCGTGAAACAGAGCCAGCACTCTAAAACTAAATTGAGATGTGTAGAAGAGTCGGCTGCTATTAATTTTGTATTAAAGTTAGCAAGTTCTTTAAAACTTTGTATGGAAATACATATACATGTACCAGTATATTAAAGCGGGAGGGTCGTCACCTGCGCACGCGCGGGAATTGAGTCCCAAGCGACGATTACAACACACGCTAAAAACGCAAAGGCTCATGGGTTGACGCTTGATTGTAAACAATGACGCGCTATGGCCATCTGAGACATGCGCGGGTGACAACTCCCTCGCTTTAAAACAAATATAAACAAGTCTGGATTTCTTATCTGAAACAATTTTGTCGTAAACAGATATGTAACTGCCGACTAACCCCGCTCAGCATACAGCTGCTATGACGAAACTGACCAACTTTGAGCGCTCTAGTCCAATATGTCCAATATTATAATTTAACTATAGAGGGCTTTATAACCCGGGGTGAAATGCAACATCATCTTATTATGCATATTATGCTTTTGAAATATTTTCACTAACTTTCTTGGTATATCATCATCACCGTTTTTTCGTCATTGTGTTATTTGGGTTGTAATGCTAGTACGTCTGACTTTGAAAACGTGTTTCGATTCAACACCTATATACGTTTATATTGAGGTAAAATTACATCCATAGTCCCGTAAATATTGGCTACAATTAAAATTATACCATTTAAATGAGGTTCTGCGTGAAAAAACTAGTGGACGCTCCTGACGCTAAAGCAAAATAATGCATTGTCAACATTTTCAATTTAGAACCCTTATCTTACTCAAAAATAATAGAGACGCTCATTTTAAACACTGGACTACATTACATGTTGCTCTCTCTCAATTATTTTATTTTTCTGGTGTAATTATTTTTTTTTTCAAGTAAAACTTAAGTAATGTCTGCGTAATAATTTGCATTGTACTACGAACACCACAAATGTATGTGAAATATAAAACATCGCGCGTTGTTTCCTGAAAAGGGGATACTGCATTGCACGGGTTAAGGGGTCAATTTAATGACTGTCCGCCATTACTCCGAGACTGCTAAGTGTTGTTGTTTTGGTCTGCCATCCGCTGCCATCCTTAATAGCTATATACACTACGGCTCAAATTCGGTATGAGTGGGGGAGTGCCGTATATAGGTAGCAAAATAAGCCTAATTTCGAAAGCCGAAATTCGTTATGAAGGGATTTTATATACCATTGATACGAAGGAGTCGACAGTGGCGCTTGCCAAAGGTGGGTCATTACTTTATTCAGTTGACTGTGTTGACCTACGCAGTATGAACCAAGTTTGTTTGGCCTATTATTAAAATAAAAAGACTGAAAACAATACAGCTATATTTTGGTGTTTAAAATATTTATATTGTTCTCTAAAATGTTAACTTGGGAGTAATGCGTTTACCCGTTTCGTCAAATTCGGCTTTTTCCAGTTTAGTATTTTTTCACGACACTTACTGGTTCATATTGTGTGAAGCGTTCTCACTGATGCTGCTGTTTCAATAAAAACACCTTTATGCAGTAAGTTGCATTTCACTTGTCAAATCGCTGTAGAAACGTAATTACGTTCCCCCGTCAGTGTAGTACCACTGACCTGTATTGATAAATATGTTTACCCAGCTGGTCATGGTTATTTTGTGTGACACCTATTATGTTGGGAAATCAATGTAACATATAAAGCATAACATAACATAATGTTAGCTCGATACAACGTACATATTGTTCTGATGGGTTTTAAAAGTGAAGTGGGCTGGAGGATGGTCAAGTGTGAAGAGAACAGAAAATATCCATGACTGCATAAAGGTGAACATATTTACAAAAAAAACTCCTCCAGATTTACCTGATTCGTCTTCTATGCTGGCCAATAAGCAAACAATTCTTTCTGGATAACACAAATTACCAGGACAGTACAGTACCAATTTGCCATTTTATCTTGTTTAATTAGAAACGGGCACCGATAAACTGTGGCAGTTATACTTGATGGGCTGCAGCACTGAATCATTCTATTTATCTTTGATGATCCTGATTGTTCATTCAAATATATTTGTCAGACCAGAAATTCTGAACTAGTTTTGTGCAACCAGAGATTTGGACAATTTTTTCCAAGTATTCAAAACTTTTTAGTTGGGGGAAAAAAATTTGGGCATATCAAGACGGTTATGCTTCTTCTGGAAATGTCAACTTTGCCACCATCTTGAACTTTTGTTCTGAAAAGCAAATTTACATAAATTGTAGCAACCATCGGAAACCATTTTATGTATTCATATGAATGTCAATTAGATTAAAGGGGAACTAAATAGAGCCTATTTTGGTATTTGTATTTATCAAGTTATGTATATTGATTATAAATTTGAAAAAAAAAATGATTATCTTCAGAGTTATGATTTAAATATGAGAAACCATAAACCTGCGAAGGACTTTCGTTTGCGCCATCTTGCCATAAAAAACGCCCTCATGAGGTATAAACAGGCAAGGTAACAAAGCATGATGACGAAATAGTATCTGATTAAATATAAGCAACTTAGGGAGCCACAGGGGAGCCATAGCTGCCTGGACTGGTGAATTGACTTCTAGTCTAGGTTGTTTCGACTTTTACGTTAATGTTATTTACAAGCATATCAACATACAAAAATTATGGATGTGCGATTGATCGAGACAGGCATTTTGTTTTGTTTTTTGTCTGTCTAATAAATGCTGTTTCCAGTACTGCACTGTGCGGCGTGCAAATTATTCAAAAGTATGAATGCTGGAGTATGCAATCGTTCGTAGGTACAGTACAGTTCTCGCGGAAGCTTTGGCTTCACTTCAGCGTCAGCTTCGCTTCAGCATCGCATCGTTATGGCATTGTTATGGCTTCATCGTCGCAT